TTCAAGCCCACCAATAGACCCTTAGGAGAAAGAGGAGACTGTCTACTCCCATAAAAACTTACAGGCTCCCTATGGATAGGTCACTGAGTCGGAACTGGCTCTATGGCCATGGGTTGCATTTGTCACTTTAAGTTATGTAACTACCATGATCCTAACCATGAATCTGCCTAAAGTATATTACCACTTAGAAAACTTACAATAATCCATGATTTCAATTTGCGATGCTTGTAGGAGAACGGTGAGGCTCTCTCCTCCTGTAAAGAGTTACAGTCTCAGAAAGCCACAGGGCCTGGTCTGCCCTGTCCTATGAGGTCGCCATTATGCTGATGGCATCTTTCTGTCATTCAGGGTGACCTCATTTGCTTTTATTATGTAAATACTGGCAAACACTGGGCCACACAGGAGATTTTCTAAAGAGAAAATCCTACAAACATTTAAAATAAAGGAATTTATTTAAAATATAAGGCAGATCGTCTCAGTGTCTCTGCCATCCTGAGCGTGGTGTTGCTCCGACTTCACCATGTCGTCTCATAAGACTTTTAGGATCAAGAGATTCCTGGCCAAGAAACAGAAACAGAATCGGCCCATTCCCCAATGGATTCGAATGAAAACCGGTAATAAAATCAGGTACAACTCCAAGAGAAGACATTGGAGAAGAACCAAGCTGGGTCTGTAAGGAGCCCCCTGAGGGATGGCACGCATGACCGCATTTTCCCAGTCTCAAATCATGTTGTGTTGCATTAAGACTTTCGTCCCCATCTGATCAAATGATCTTTTATTGGCAAATCTGATTTATTCCTTGTTATTTTTGCTTCCTCATCAAGTCTAACAATAAATAATGTAAGGCTGGAAAAAAATATATATATAAGGCAGATCATCGTACATGGAATACAGGTCCTCTTTTACATAACCACAATTAAGTGATCAGATGCACCAAATAGACTGTAGTCTCCCATAAATTATCCAGCTTTCAAAAAAAAAACGTCCTAACAATGCTGCCTATGAAACTGTTTCCTCTAATCCAGAATCCAGGTCAGGATCATACACTGCATTTAGAATTTACATTGAGAAAATGCAATGCAAACAGAATTATCTATTTGGTATCTACTATTATGAAACCTCAAGCTCAATTTGTCTTTCAGGACATCGATATTATTTCAGAGTATGGGCTAATTATTTTGTAAAACGTCTTTTAATTTGTGTTATTCTGATGTTTCCTCTTTATGAGATTAAGGCGATGTGCGTTTGGGGGAGTCAAAATACTACCGACACAATGTTGTGTTCTCCATGTGTTACATTGCCAAGTACCCAATGTCCGTATTTCCCATCATTGGCAATGTTCACTTGGATTACTCTCCAGTTAATATACACTCTGTGGGTATTACTTTAAGACTGCATGAGTATCTGGTTGCTTTCTTAAATTTTCATGTAACAATGTTAGTGTCCACTGATGAATTTTGCCTGAATCAGTTGTTGCTATGATAGTTACAAAATAGTGAAATCTTAACTACTATTTCTCTACATTGTTTGGTTGACACTCTGCAGAAGGGGATCTTTCGCTTCCCCTTGTTTATTTATGAATTCCTTACTCTTTGTATGAAGTGGTGGACTTTCATTTCAGTCAATGGCTTATAACCCACTCTTGCATTTCCTTCTTCCATAGTCATTTTGATGTTCAAATTTTCCCATATTTGGTCAGAGGGACACCCTTCAAGTTGTCTCCTCTGTCATTTATAAATTATCCCTACCTTTTCAAGGTCCGCCCCCCCCTCCCTTACTTTCTGTTATAATACGTTATTACAGTGTGTCTCACACTTTCTCTACCCAAGCCCTAGGACCAGCCATTTCACCAAGGTGATCTGGTACCATTTCATGAGGAAACAATTTTTAGAAAAGAAAATCGAATGGTAAATGTACTAACTGCTACCAGGAGTGGTTGTTCTTAGACATGCAGTGAAATGCACTTGTTCTAAGTATGTTGTTGTTGTGGTTGTTCTTAGACATGCAGTGAAATGCACTTGTTCTAAGTATGTTGTTGTTGTTGTTGTTGTTGATGATGATGATGATGATGTTAGGGGTTATCGAGTCAGTCCTGACTCATAGCAATCCTATACACAACAGAAGGAAACACTGCCCAGTCCTGTACCGTCCTCACAATTGTTCTTATGTTTGAACCCATTGTTGCAGTCACTGTGTATACAGCTCTGTCTTGAAAAATGTGTACACCTGGGGCCAGTTCTCAGCCTTGGTCATACCTCACCCAGCAGCAACATTAGATACTGCCAACTGTGCCTTATTCTTTACAATATCATCTTCAGTGGTCTTCTTGGAAATTATAGTCTCTTGGTTTTCTTTCTCCCTCATAGGGCTTCCATCGCAGTTTCCTTTGTGTTTTCCTATTCTTCTCTGTACCCTTTTAAGGTTGAAGTGCCCCAAATCTCAGCCTGATTTGTTGATAATTGTCCTCGGTTATGTTGTTCAGTGCAGTCCAGTCGGTTCTGACCCATGGCGATCCCACATACAACAGGATGGGGCTCCTCCCTTCCTCCTTTTTCCTTCCTTCTCTTCTTTCCAAGATTGATTTTGGTAAATGAAGGGGCCACTTTATTCTCAACTTGGCGTCACTACACTGATACAAATGAGTGAGAATCCACCATTAGAATGGCGTCCACGTGTTTCAATATGAGCGTGTGCCGAAACACCCAATTTCAGTTACCCTCCACTTATCTCAGCATGCACTTGCTTGCCTCTTGCCACACATGAAATCTAGCTTTGTTTAAAAATAAAAGTACCTTTAATCAGCATTTCCAGAGAACAGTGGGTTTTGCTTGCCCTCAATGATGGCTTTGTGTGCATCATGCAAGCGAAGTCATGAACTGATGTGGGCACCCCTGCCCCGGGGGAGTGCCACAGGGCGAAGGTGGCTCCCGCCCATTGTTGTCTTTGCTTCTGGCCTCCACTCTGATGTTCAGGCCCAGAGAGTGAAAACGAAAGATGAGAAGACGCATGGAATAAACCAAAATGGCTCTATATATGAGCTGTTTATTTTCCTACTGGACTGTTAAATTGACTCCAGGTCCAAAACTGGCAGCAAATGTCACTTATATGACCCAAGAGTGAGTCACCGAATTCCATCTGGGATAAAGTATACCTTGACAAACACTCCAATAATGTGCTTGGGCTATGTCTGGAAAATAGCCATGATGTTAACAGTCCAAGTTTTGAAAAAGCACATGTGGCATGAGTTTAAACTATCTCTACTGACAAGATCAGATTTTCACGGCCACCAATAAGAGAGAATGTGTGCCATGAGGAAGTGAGATTCCTCTCTCCTTTTAGGCAGCGGGATGGGAGTCTAGGTCACTTTGGTAGCTATATTATTGACTTCTTGCCATTGATCTTCCTAGGACGTTAGGAAACATCTTCCTCGTGCCTAAAATAGTGTGATCTCAACTCTTCTAATTCGTGTGAAGGATTTGATCAAACTAGAGATGGCTGAGCCCAGGCCCACGGTAGCAGATGAAATATTTCATTTTAAATGTGTGCAGAAATTTTTTTTTAAGTATAAGAAATTTTTATACTATGAGGCTAACTCAGAAAGCATTGCTAGTAGAGTTCTAGTTTATACATGCCTAGGTTTATTTTTTTTTAAAAATAGGTTCTCCCAGGTAATACACTTATCTTTAGTTCATTCAGGTGCCTTAAATACTAGTGGTTTTTGTTGCCATGGGAGAAAACAACAATTTTGGGAATGGGGCTAATCTAAAAATTTTAACAAAACTCAAATAGACATCTTCCCAAATCATGGAAACTTAGCAACAAGTTCACAGGAACACTTCTCCACACAGACCACAGTGTTTATATGGGTCGCGCCTTTTAAGGCCTGTTGGGAAGACATCAAAAGTGAATTCAAAGCAAGAGATGTTACCTCAGAAGGTTCCAGCACCTGTTTGGGGGATTCAAAGGTGATTGTGATTGATTTTCTCAAAGGACACAGGAGGATTATGGAGGCCTGTTGTGAAGGTTTTGATCAAAGTGAAAGCTGCAAGGTGGAGACAAGCCCATGCATCAGCGCGGTCTTGAGGGTAGCGAGGGCTGTCCTATGAGAACGTTGGGATACCTTACCTCATCCTCCTCAAGTCCCCCTTTGGGTTTTGCTTGCCCTCAATGATGGCTTTGCGTACATCATGCAAACGAAGTCATGAACTGATAGGACATCCCTGCCCTGGGGGAGTGCCACAGGGCGAAGGTGGCTCCCGCCCATTGTTGTCTTTGCTTCTGGCCTCCATGATGTTCAGTCCCAGAGAGGGAAAATGAGAGATGAGAAGACGCATGGAATAAACCAAAATGACTTTATATATGAGCTGTTTATTTTCCCACTGGACTGTTAAATTGACTCCAGGTCCAAAATGTTCCCAAGTTCAGAGAGCATTTAAATGGAACCTGATTTGAGTCTTAAGGGTGCCCAGACTGGTACTGTGAGCTGGGATAAATCGAAGAGGATAGAATTCTTTGGGAAAGTATTAGAGTGTTGGACGTACCACATGCTGAAGTAGATAAGTTTTTCTGTTTAATAAAGCATATAGATACTATTCTTTAATAAAACGTCTAGGCATTTTTGTTTAATGATGTGTATAGGTATTTTTGTTCCATAAAATATCTTGGCATTTTTGTGTAATAAAGTTTTCTATGATTGTAAGCAATACTTTGGGGCTTTCCAGCATGTAATACCAGCATAATTAACAAGGGAATGAAAATATTAATTCGTATATTTTATGCCTTCCAAAATTGTGTTCAAAAATGAACGTTTTAATAAATCTAAGGTGTGAGATATAACATTTTTGTTCTAGAAGAATCTCAGATGGTGCATGTAGTAGACTAAGAACGCAGAGAGAACAGTTTCAATTTTTCTCCTTTGTGATTTACTTTTCTAGAGAGGAAAATAAGGGTGTGTTATTTTTTCACATATATAAACTTCTGAATTGTGTTACTTTCCACAGATACAACACACTCGGGGGAAATTGGCACCAAGAAAAAGGTGAAAAGACTGTTAAGTTTTCAGAGATATTTCCATGCATCGAGGCTACTTCGTGGGATTGTACCGCAAGCCCCTCTCCACTTGCTGGATGAAGACTACCTGGGGCAAGCCAGGGTAAGTAAGCTGGTTACACCTTGGTCTCCCCTCACAGCAAGAGATTGCCCAAGATGTTGAGCCCCAAGCACGTGGGTGTGCAGTTCCCTCCTGTCACAGAGGAGTTCTGTGACTCTGGCTAGTTACTCAATAAGCGTAACTCCTACCTCACAGTATAAAATGAAGTTAGTAGAAGTGCCCACCCCCGAGGGTTGAGATGAAGATAAAGAGGTAAAGCATATATACATGCTTGATAGACTCAAGCCTCACATGCTCCCTATCCTCATTTTCAACTGTGCGAAGCAGGTTTGTAGACTGTGTAGAGTTACACTGCTGGACGGCTGGGTCACCAATGAGAGCGCAATGAAAAGGTCCCAAGTCACTGAATTCTCTAGGGGAACTAAGAGCGCTGACAGGCACCCAGCAATCAGCAGTGGTTCCACTTTGGGCTATTGGGACAGCCCAGCACCCTTTTCACCACTTTCATTTCATTAAAATAAGTTTTGTTAATATTACAATTGTTTGTGCAAAGCATCGATCTAGATGAGAGTGGAAACTAATGGGTGACCATCTAAAACAGTGGTTCGCAATCTGTGGGTGGAGACCCCTTTGAGGGTCTAATGACCCTTTCACAGGGGTTACCTGATTCATAACAGTAGCAAAATTACAGTGATGAAGTAGAATGAAAATAATTTTATGACTGGGGGTTCACCACCACATGAGGAACTGTATTAAAGGGTCGCAGTGTTAAGAGGTTGAGAACCACTGGTCTAAAAGAAGTGTCCATACGCTCTCTAACCCAAACGACTAAGGAATTTCAATTTCAAGAATAAACTACCTCGGTTTAAACCGACGTCAAAGTTAGTGTCTTATAGTCGCATGTTATCCAAGAAGAAATATCCACTACCGTAAAAACCAACTACAACCAACTGCCATTGAATCCAGTCTGATTTGTAATGCCCCAAGGGTTTCCGAGTAGAACAATGTTCCGTAGTTGTTTTCACTCCAAAGGCTGTTCTTCCAAAACCACCAGTGTCTTCAAAATGCTTAAGTATCTGCACCACCCAGGGACTCTTACAACTATGATCCCAAACCAAAAAGTACCAAACTCACTGCCGTTGAAATCAATTCTGACCTGTCGGGATCCCATAGGACAGAGCAGAACTGCTCCTGTGGGGTTCAGAGACTTGACTGATTAATGGGAGCAGAAGGCCTGTCTTGCTCCCAACCAACGGCTGATGGTTTCTAACTGCTGACCTTGCAGATTGCAGACCAAACACGGAACCACTGTGCCACCAGGGCTTCCCCATATACTGTGATAAACACTACTAACACATACTATGGAAAAATGGGAGCCATGGTGACATAGTGAGTTTTGCCTTGGAATTTTAACTGCAAGGTCAGCAGTTTGAAACCACTGCCCACTCCTCAGGAGAAAGATGAGGCTTTGTACTCTGTTAAAGATTTATAACAGGGGTCCTCAAACTTTTTAACCAGGGGGCCAGTTCGCTGTCCCTCAGACCCGTTGGAGGGCCGGATTATAGTTTCCCAAAAAACTATGAACAAATTCCTATGCACACTGCACATATCTTATTTTAAAGTTAAAAAAAAACAAATGGGGCAAAAACACCAGAGGGCCGGATAAATGTCCTCGGCAGGCCGCATGTGGCCCGCGGGCCGTAGTTTGAGGACCCTTGATTTATAGTCTTGAAAACCATAGGAGCAGTTCTACCCTGTCCTACAGGGTTATTGCCAGTTGGAATCAACTTGATGCAGTGCGTTCTTAGGGTTTTTATTAAGAAATGAGTAGCAGATTATGAGAAAAGCACTCATTCACAGCATCAGATTTACAAAAGGAAGGGGAAAAAATAAGTCATTCCTTCTAACAAGGCTGAAGCCTGAGAGTGGATGAATGTTTACAGAAGCAAGACTAGGCTCCCTTTCTACCAGAGGGGCCCTGAGAGAGCTGTGGATTGTTTGACTTGGGGGCAGTGCTCAACCTCAGAGGTAACCTGCTGCCCCTCATTCTCACACAAAGTGGAGGCCTTCCTGTGCCATGCCAAAGGGCTTGGGATATTCCTGTAGGGCATAGGGCACCAGTTCCAGGGTAGGAAAAGGAGAGTGAGGCGATCTTGTCTTGAGTCCGTGACTATGGGAAGAAAGGAAGGTGTGGGGGCAGGAACTATCATAGGTTAGAATCATTTATCTAGACCTTTATCGTCTAACTGAGGAGCCCCAGTGCCTGTCAGATAAGCGTTCAACTGCCAGTTGCAAGGTCTGCAGTTCAAACCCACTAGCAACTCTCTAGGAGAAAGGCGAGGCGATGTGCTCCCATAAAGATTTGCATGAGTAGCAACCCTATGTAGGGTCACTAGGAGTTGGAATTGACTCGATGGTCATGGGTGTGACTACAGTGGGGTAATATTCCTGGATTGGAAAGGTCTTTAAATGACTCAGTATTTTATATTCCTCCCTCTTCTGTTTCCTGTTACAGTAGTCAATTATAAATTAGGTCCACCTCAAAGAGATGAAGGTGCCCAGCAATTGTTTTGCCTTTAAAAGAACAGTTCCGTAAGTCTATAGAAGATTGTGATGTAGAAATTTGACCGTAATTTAGCAGACACCTGGCATATTCATGCTGATACCAAAAATGTTCCAAGGACTTCCTATAACATAGGATCTCATTTAATCCTCACAGCAAATCTCTCAAGTAGAATATATCAAGGTCGGCCACCTCTTTCAGATTGAGAACCTAGGATACAGAAAGGCTAAGGAACTTGCCCAAGACCCCACCGTTAGTACAAGAGATGGCCAACCTCAGAGCAGGCCATCTAATTCAAGGCCTCATCCCATTACAAACGTGTTATTAGTGAAGAGCAAGACGTGTTTTACTATCACCTGTAGCCCATAGAGTAGCAAGTTACAACATCAGCTTTTTGATGTTCCTTCTGTCTCAAGAGTAAATGTCTGCCCCTCTGATAGGATTCATCCGAGCACTCTTGTCTGTTTACTCTTTCAGCATATGCTCTCCAAAGTGGGAATGTGGGATTTCGACATATTCTTGTTTGATCGCTTGACAAATGGTAAGTCACTCAGAAGAATTCTATCCCTAAAGTAGGCTTCATTTCATGAAAAACAAAATGTATGTGCAAGATGTCTATGTGTTACTCTTCCTTCCTTCCCAAGTCTGATGTCAACTCAAGAAGGGCCAGCACAAGGAAAATTCAAGTCTGGTGAAGACTCAACTTTGAACTTGGCCTTAGCAGCATCAGGCAAACCTAAGAAGGCAGGAAGGGGCAGAAAGCTGGGTGACTGGAAATGGGGAGCCCACGGTAGAAATGTGGCGAGTAGAGACACATTGTGGGGATAGCAGCCAACACCACAGAACAATCTGTGTTCACATGGATGAATGGGAAACTGAGGCGCTCTGTAAACTTGCACTGAAAGATGTTGAAGAAAAAGCATTTTAGGCCGTTTCCTTCTGACCTTGATGATTCCCAAAGAAATTTGAGAACCACAAATTGGATTCTTCTCTTGCAGAATGCTTGAGCTACATTCAAGAGAAGGAAGTTCATTGTTAGTCAATGAAAAAGTAGGCACACTGAGGGCGGGGGTGGGGGGAAGTAATGGGGAGCTGATATCAGGGGCTCAAGTGGAAAGAATGCTTTGAAAATGATGATGGTGGCATATGTCCAAATGTGCTTGACACACTGGAGGAACGTATGCATTGTGCTAAGAGATGTAAGAGCCCCCAATAAAAGTAAGGGGGAACAAAGAAAGAAAAGTAGGCACACAAAAAGCCCATCTGACCAGGCCTGACTCTTGCAGGGTAGGGTGTTGGTGGGCGTCATTGAGTGAGCCGAGTCAGCCCCTTTATAGCTATTGTTCAGCTACCTTTGGCATTGTGAGATGATAAAGACCATGGAAGAGAGAGTGTAGAAGCTTAGAATACAGTGGAAAGGGAAAGTTGACATTTGGACATGTTTCTCTTTTGCAATTTTTCTATCTACAAAGGCTTTCCTAAAGAAAATCATACACTCATTATGTTGTTATCTGCCCGTAAAACAAATGCTGGTAAGTTTATGAAGCCAGTGTAAGTTATCACATTTAATATTGACCTTTTTCTGTCCCACAATCTACTGGATTTGTGCTTTCAGTCATTACAGATGTGGAGGGGACCACAAGTGATAGGGATCCTAAGGAGGGACCCTAAGGGAAAAGTAAAGAGACAACAGACCAGATATGCAAGTGCTCACCTCTTCCATAGAGTCTGGGACCAGAGAGTGGGCGAGTGTATGCTCTAACCGGTTTCTATAATCTTGGGTCAGGCAAGCCTGTCATACACATAAGTAACAGGAAGAGGATGTGCTGGGGCATACGGCACATCAGTAACAAGATGGGCGGGTTCTAGAGGGTCTGATTGCGGACAACCTTCAGGCAGATAACCTTCAAGCATGTAGTAATCAACCAGGAGCTTGTAAGAAGCATCTTAAGATTGGCATTATTACGGGGAACATTGTGGGCAATAACTTTCAGTTAGGAGAATGTGACCAGAATTCATCTCCAACTCGTGAGCTTGAAGGCCTTCCTCACCGGAGTCTGCCTCCCGGACTCCTAATTGTGAGCATGAAAACTGTATCCGTATACCGTCGCTTCCCAGTTCTCAGTTTCCCACACAGATGATTCTCAACCATTCTATTTGACCGGTAATGCGCACTAGAGAGAGATGCCAGCCTGCGACCCAGTCACAGTTTTACACTGTGGAAAACCACGTGCGCCAACAGGAATGAATCGCATTACCTTGCTTTCACTTTACTCAGTTCGTCTGGTGAATGAAATTCACTGTTAACCAAAAGAACTTAAGTGATATTTCTGAAAAGGTGGTATGATCGTGGCTCTCATGCAAATATAAATGAACACGTGTCAAAGATATTTACTTAACTCAGCTATTTAGAGATCCAATAAGATGCTACAGCTGGTTCAAGGGAGAATTCAAAGAATTCATATAAGCAGTATGAAATTCTGAAACGAATTTACAAGTACCTGCAAAATCCAGACTGTGGGAATCACTTGTATTTTCACCTGACTAGATTTGTTTACATATGTATGGGTAAAAATCACTGGGAATGTTGACAGTTTCCTGCAATTTAGAGAGTCGGGAAATAAAGCAAGACAGTGACAACTGCAGAGATCCATAGAATCGGGACCTGGAGGGATATATGTCATCAGCACCTGGTTCTCCACTGAAGACCAAAATGAGCCGTCTTCGTAGCTCCTTCCCAAGTCCTCATAAACTCCCCAGTGCTTTTTCAACTCAAAACCCATTCATCTTAAATAATAGCCTGTTTGGAATGCTCACGGGTTGTTTGTTAGGGCTTCAGTTTGCAGTTCTGTAGGCTTGATTATAAAATGTCGAAGGGTCAATTCTCCGCATGGACAGTATTTCATAGGAAGAATAGGCTATGCATGTTAAGCAACGTGGTGGCTAACAAACCCCTGTAAATGTAAGAGACAAATAAAAGGGACTGGAGGAACATTTCAAGTTACCGCTAAAGTTACACGTCATATACGAATATGCATGGCAATGGCACCAATTTCTGACAGGGACGATTACAGCTCTCAAGATGATTGATCTTTATGTAAGTCTAGGCCATGATTCTCAGTGTTTTGACAGTTAGTTATATAATGATATCGTCACTGTCAATTCTGTGATCTGATGTGGTCACAATGACCTGGTCTTTGGAACCTAACCATGCCAACACATGCCGCCAGGGGCCGAATCTCTATCCCTCTTCAGGATGTGTTTGAATCACCAATATTTCTGTTAGCAATCAAGCATCTCCCTGTTTGTACCACCCAGGGAACCTCTTCGGATCTGACCCCATTTTATAGCTCAGGAAACTGCAGGGGAGTTATAGAAATCACAATGTCTGAATCAATGTCACACATACAAACAGGAGAATGCCTAGGACCAGATTAGAGTAATGGCATCATATATAGTTAAATAACTTCACATCCAAAGGGGAAAAAAAATACTTAAATCCTAGAAGCGTCATTACAGAAACTTTGGATCTGGTTGCCAGTCTTAATATGTTCCTGGTGATGGAAATGAGTTCATGCTAGTTCCTGTTGTCTTCTAGGAAACAGCTTGGTAACACTGCTGTGCCACCTCTTCAACACCCATGGTCTCATTCACCACTTCAAGTTAGACATGGTGACCTTACACAGGTTTTTAGGTAAGTTCTTTCTTTCAAATCCTTACCTTCCACCCAGAAATCATGGCAGTCCATACTACTGCATCATGTAAATGGGGCAGGAATCATAGCGAGATGGGTGAAAACCTCAAATTAATCTAAAATCTCATCTTAATTTTAAAACATGGCTTTCCCATCTTGAATCATGAAGGGGGAACTGGTTAATTACTTACAACAGAGGAAGGCTGTATAGAAGGAAGCCATCAAGAGCATGTAACAAGGGGGAAAGAGCTGATACCAAGGGCTCAAACAGAAAGTAAATGTTTAGAAAATGATGATGGCAACATATGTACAAACATGCTTGGTACAATTGATGTATGGATTGTCATAAGAGCATAAGCAAATGTGGTGAAGAAAGCTGATGGTGCCCAGCTATCAAAAGATATAGCGTCTGGGGTCTTAAAGGCTTGAAGGTAAA